GGTTGCGGGGGGTGTGCGGGGCGCGGTTCGGCCCTGGACGCAGTCACCGGGACCCTCGGAAAAGCTGCAGGACAGAAGGGGGGTGGGAGCTCAAATGATGGCACGTGCGAGATCTGGGACAGTAGGTGTGGAGAGAAACAGCGGGTTATAGGAGAAGAGGCTGTGGGGGAAGAATGAGAGGGATGCGTTTCAACCACGGCTTCAGTTGAAGTGGCTGTGAATCAGAACATGGGCTGGTGACTGCTGGTGTCCCTCCTGGGCTGCTGCTCTTGGCAGCAGCAACGGGCATTCTCCACAGAACTGGCCAAAAAGGACAAATAGTGGGAATTACCCAGGAGCAATCAGTGTGTGCTAACATGAAAAATTAATTAACTTTGCATCTTCTGTCCCACTTTGGTTAAATGCTGTGTTTAATTGTGGTGCTTGAGATGTGCAGTAATGTGCCCTCTGGATGTTGGGTGGTCCTCTTGCTAAAAATCATAGAATCATCAAGGTTGGAAAAGACTTCAAGATCAAGTCCAACTATCCACCCTACAAGCCCTAACCACTAAACCATCTCCTGAAACACCACATCTACACCTTTTTTGAACACCTCCAGGGATGGTGCCCCCACCACCCTCCCTGGACAGCCTGTTCCAAAGCCCCACCACTCCTTCTGTGAAGACATTTTTCCTAATATCCAGCCTGAACCTCCTCTGGTGCAACTTGACCCCATTTCCTCTTGTCCTGTTGCTGGTCACCAGGGAGAAGAGCCCAACACCCACCTCACCACAACCTCCTCTCAGGCAGTTGTAGGGAGCAATGAGGTCTCCCCTCAGTCTCCTCTTCTCCAGGCTGAACAGCCCCAGCTCCCTCAACTTCTCCTCAGAAGACCTGTTCTCCAGACCCATAATCAGCCTTGCTGCCCTTCTCTGCCCCCTCTTCAGCACCTCCATGTCCTTCCTATTCTGTGTGGTGTTTGCCTTCTTGGCCACCTGGGAACATCCTGGCTCCTGTTCAGCTGCTGTTGGTCAGCACCCCCGGTCCCTCTGCTGGGCACTCCTATCCAAGCCTGGAGCTCAATGTTTGTGCATGTAAATAAGCAAAATACCCAACACTGGCTAAAATGAAGACTGACAAGCACGTCTCTTGCCTGGAGACACTCGCAGCATCAGCTGGTGTGAGACCTTAACCTTCCATTTGCCACAGCCCCTTGCAGTCCAGTCTGGGTGTTTAGCCCTTCTGAGAATTCCCTGATTCCCTTTCCCACAGCGTCTGACCAAACACACCAAGTTTGTGCGGGACATGATCAGGGAGGTCTGCGGCTTCGCACCCTATGAGAGACGTGCCATGGAATTGCTGAAGGTTTCCAAGGACAAACGTGCTCTGAAGTTCATCAAGAAGCGGGTAGGTCAATCCCACAGCCTCAGGACGGTGGCCAAAACTGGTGTAGTCAACTCAGGTTTTTATGTACTTCCTTAGAGATATTTTGCTTTTGAATTAATTATATTTTCATTGTTTGGGAAGTTACTGGTCTAATCGGAGGGAGCGGAGGGAATGCTCCTTGGGGTGGGTGGGAGATGGACATAGAAGTAAGTACTTTGTGACAAAGCCCTGAGCTGCAGCAATCCAGGCTGGCTCTTCCTGCATTACTTGAAAAGCTGGTGCAGGGAGGGCAGCCTGAGGAGCAGCCCCAGGAGCAGCTCCTGCCTTGCCCGAGGTCATTCTTGAGACAGACATGTGATGCCTGATGGCTCCTGGCTGGCCAGTTAAGGTGGATGGGGTTCAAGTCCATGTTCACCAGAACTGCCAAGGAAACCTCTTCAGTGAACGTGTGTCTGCCCTGCTGGGGATGCTGACCCTGCTCTCTCCCCTGCAGGTTGGCACTCACATTCGGGCCAAGCGAAAGCGGGAAGAGCTCAGCAATGTCCTGGCAGCCATGAGGAAAGCTGCTGCCAAGAAGGATTGAGCTGCACAACCTGTAACTCAATAAAGTCCTTTCTTACACAACTGGTGATGGTTTATCTGCTTCAGCCCATGGGCAGGGTGCTTGGGGGATGCTAAGGGACTGGGCTGACCTGGCCCTGAGCTCCAGCAATCCAGAACTTCCATCCCAGTTTTATCTTGCCTGCAGCTGGAGATGGTGGTCCTGGACTGTGATATATTCTGGAGGGGTGGTTCTCCAGAGCTTGTGGAGCAGAGCTAGCCTTTCTCAGGACATGGAAGCCTCTGCAATAGCTGAGCCTGTGAATACCAAGATACCTCCCAGTTTGTCTCCTGACATAGATGGTGGCAGGAGAGAAGTCTCTAGACAAATTGCTGTTGCAAACAGTAACTCTGCACTCCTTCCCTCTCTGCACTCAGCCTTGTGCACCTTCTGCTTGTGCCCTTCCCCTTTTACTCTCCATCCGGACCTGCACTCTGCACTGTGTTAACAAATAATGAGCGAGAATTAAGACTGGAAGAGCTCCCTGAATGTCAGCAGAATGATTCTTTATTCTCCATGAAGGGGAACATTGTGTTGAGACAGGACAAGTGCAGTTCTGCACTTACATACACCTCAGATAGACTTCATGTAGCTACTTTTCCCAATTTAAATTGATTTTTTCCTAGCATTTAGTGTAAGACAAAGTATTCCAGTACAGCCTGTGTTTAATTAACATAAAAGTCATACCAGGATATTTAATTCCTTTTCTCAGTCAGTGAACATCATACAGCTGGCTGCAGTGGCAGAGACAGTCTGTGGTGGAGTGCAGTGCTACCTGCTCATCCTGCACATGCCTGTTTTGTCCAGGTGTCTGCTTTCCAAGCCTGGAGCTGTTCCTGATGGCACTGACCTGGGATTCAATCTGGAGGAGACCCCCATCCCTCTGCAGCTGGATGTGCTACCTCTGCTGAGCTGGGAAGTGCACATTCCACTCCAGCCCAGGCTCAGCATCTGGGACAGTGAGAGGTTCCTGGGAGCTACTCGACCACCAGCACCTCAGCCCCAGCTCTAGAGTGAATGTTTCCATCAGCAGGTTCTTAGAAACAGTGAAATAACTGAAAAAAATCTAGACTCCACTGGTGGTGGCTGAGAACATGCATGTTCCTTAGGTAAAATGTCACGATTTTATTGGAAATACGTAATACTAAAGAGAGAAATACTTTATTCTACCCAAGCCATAATTCATGTCAGCAGCTGCGCAGCAGCAATAGCTCCATGTCCCTCTCCAGGTTTGCTCCCAGGTCCCCCCAGTTCTGGGCAGGAGTTGAGCACAGAGGGACAGACCATGTTCCAGCCCTCAGGTTGTTTGTTCAGTGTCATCCTCCAGTGGAATCCAGATTTGAAAATGCTATATCAAATACCTCCTGGTAGTGCTCAACAAAATGCACTTCTAGTCCTTCTGTGATGAATCCAGCAAGGTCATAATAATCCTTTTTATTCTCTGCTGGCAGGATGATGCAGGTGACACCCGCTCGCTTTGCCTGCGGGGAGAAGAAAGTCAGGTTCCCAAGTCCCAGAAATCCATCCATCTACTAGAAACTCACCCATTTTAGAAAGCAAGAACAAGAACAGTTATTTAGGAGCATGATCTGGCTTTACTCTGGAGAGCAGCAAGGGCATTTCTTACAGAAGGTGCCACTAAGGATGGATCCTGTTCTACATCCCCCCAGTTCCACCTTCTCAGCTGCAGGGACAGCTGAAGTGGGAGGTATTTTAGTAAGGCTGTGTCAGGACACTGGGGGATTATTTACACCAATTCATACTAATTTGCAGTTTGAAACGTCTGTTCTGACTTGGGTGAGGATAAGCCCTACAACCAAAGGAAGAATTAGAAACAGACCAACCCACCACACGAATATTCATGTCTCATAGCACCCAGGGTCCTACAACTGGGCCAAGGCAAACAAGAGAGACAAACACAGGCTGGGGGAGGACACACTTGGGAGCAGCTCTGTGGTAAAAGACCTGGGGGTACTAGTGGATCAGAAGCTGGACATAAGCCACTAATGTGCAGCTGCAGCCCAAAAGGCCAAGCCCACCCTGGGCTGCATCACAAGGAGTGTGGCCCATAGATGGAGAGGTGATGACTACCACAAACAAACCACAAAATTACCCATTTTACAGCCACGTGAGACAAAGGAATCACATTGCACGAGGCTGTAGCCCAGAGTCAAGGACACAACTCAAGTCCCAGCTCAAAATGCTGCCTAAAGAGCTAATTACCATTCCTGAGGATGGAAAACTGTGTGTGATGCAAGGCTGCCATAGAGCCATGGAGGTGAAATCCAGAGAGAGATTCAATGCTTGGAAAAGAATTTTGAAAACTACAAAGGGCTGAAACAAAACCAGCAAGTATCACTTCATTATGATGTACAAAGAAACTTTCCAAGGGAAAATGCAAGATGCTAAAATTAAGTTTCTTCTATCTAAAGCAGAAAAATAGGGATATCTGTATGAAATTTTAAGGCAGACAAATTCAAGCTGGACTTAGGGAACAGAGCGTCAGTGTTAAGGATGATGATTTATGGATACCATCACATCCATACTCAAAGCCCTCCTTAAACAGGCACTTCAACCCAGCAGAGATGATCACAGACTGATATGGTCCAATAGAGAAGCCAGCTCTATCAGCCAGATGATGATCCCTTCCACCCTTAGTTCTACCAGTCTAGTAACCAGATGACCACAGATGCCCTTGCACAAAGCCTGGGTTCCCATCTCCTTCCTCACAGTCAGAGACACAGACAAGCCCCAACACTCCCCAGCAGGGTCTCCACAGTGGAGACTGAATCACCACCTCTCTCACTACAGGAGCAATCACTCATTGTCACCATCACTGTGGAGCCCAACCCAGGGCTCTGTCCCACAGATGATGCCCACAGACAAGGGAGGAGCTCTCACCGCAATAGTCTTCTCCTTGATTCCACCAACAGGAAGAATTTTCCCAGTTAATGACACTTCTCCAGTCATGGCCACATTCTGCCTCACTGGGCAATTCATGGCCAGGGACAGCAAAGCTGTTACTATAGTACATCCTGCACTTGGTCCATCCTTGGGTGTTGCCCCCTGTTTGAAAAAACAAACAGAAAGCCCTGCCTTTAGCTCATTCAGAGAGGAGCAAAGCCAGACAAGACCTTTGCCACTGCTGTTTTAACATGGCCCCAATTTCAGAGGGTGTCACAAAGGTTTCTGTGAACCTGTCACTGTTGGAATCCTGCTATTTGAATTGGTCCATCTATTGACAGCAAATTGAGTTCTCACCTTATTCAAAATACTCCATGAGTCTACAATTTTGGTTTTGCCCTCATGCCACCACAATACTCATCAGGTCAGGACTTTGAATAAGCAACATGAGCAAAAAAAACCAAAACAGACCATGAATGATTTGAAGCTTTTTGTTTGCCTAAGGCAACCATGGAAACAAGGAACAGAGGTCAGCATCACAAGGGAAGAGAATCAAGAGTCACAAAATAGTGGAAGACAACACTGAAAATCATGCAGGGCAGAAAATATCATTCAGTTTAGAAAGCCCAACAAAATCCAGTGACAGTCTGGATTTATCTGAGATCAAACAGATCTTTGAAGTTAAGAGCAGAAGAAATGAATGTTTGAGAGGGAGTTCAGGCAGAGGTGATGTCTGTTAATTCCTGATCCTCCAGGAAATGAGCACACAGGTAACAGCCCAGTACCCTACAGACACAGAGTGAGCTGCAACAAGGAACTACTGTGTGCTTTAGCAAGGATAAAGCATACAATAATTCAGAAGCAGAGCTTGGGCACAGTGACACTACAAACTTTGCCTTCAGTAGTTAGAGCACCTGTCCAAAGCCTGTTACACAATGTATGAGCCTCTCATTTATCTTCAGTCCTATTTATGTTCATTTATCTTTGGTCCCAAACAGTGGAATAATGCAATTGCTGCCAATATAGGGAACAGGAACCATGGCACAGAGACCAGGAGAAGTATTTTCAATTATGTATAAATGACCTGAAACCTTTATGAAAGCCTGGTAGCACAGAGACCTAAGCTTTGGTCTCCTTGTAGGATAAACCTTGACAAGGTTTTATCCAACCCCTTCTCTCCACCTGCACAATAGGCCAACAGCAAGAACCAAAGTCTAGATTCCTTATAGGACTATCCAAGCCCCCATATTCAAACTACATGCTTGTTGTAAAAAGGAATGGAAACTCAGCTTCTAAGACTGCTTTCTAGGTTTTACTGCTAAAAAGGCCTGAGGGCATCCTGCACAGCATGCGAACAGATCAAGTGCTTTCCAGCTTCATGCCCAGGGCAGCAAACCAGCCTGGCTGCCATGGATCCTCTGGGAATTCTGCATCAGTTTACCTCTGGCACATGCAAGTGGATATGGGAAGACATGAGAAAGTCATTGTTGGAGTCCTTCTGCATCAAAAAGGCTCTTGCAAATGTGTAAGCTATTTTGGCACTCTCTTTCATGACATCTCCCAGTTGCCCTGTTACTTCAAGGGACCCATCTTTGTTCTCCTTGTCTTTGGGTCTCCTCAGGGATGTTTCAACAAACAGAGTGGAGCCTCCTAAGACATAAAAGAAAAGCAACATCCTGAGAAAAGTTAAAGGCAAATCAAACTAGAAGGTTTTGGTGATGCAGAAGCAATGTCAGGAATTTGGGGCTCTCAAATGAGACACTAGCTCTTGGATAAAGAGCAGTTTAAATCTGCTCTCTGAATCCCTTCAGGAAGGCCAGCTAGAAATCCCAACAGCACTGCACTGCCAGTCTCCATTCACTGCTTCTTTGCACTTCACACTGCACTAACACAGATGCAACCTCCATTTAGTGGAAATCAGTTCTTAGAATGGCTCTTTGTAGATAAAAAGCAAGATGAGCTCACACTGTAACACACCTGTAGCCAGCTCAACTTCCCAGTGTCAGACATTTATTTACCTTCTCCCTCTTAAATACTTAAATTCTCCCCAGGGTCAGAGTATGCAGGGTTCATACCCT